TTGTAAAATTTAATCCATGCATAGTAAATCTCAAAACTATGAGGTGGGACAAATTTAAGATCGTAAAAATATTTATTCAATGATGAAATGAATTACATTTAATCATAGCCAACAAACTTATGTTTTATTAAATCGCCACAAGAAAAAATACACCAGCGTGAAAACAAGTTGTCTTCTTCAGCAGCCATGACAGTTCTCATGTGATGTAATGACTTTTGATTGAAAACGTTTAATACTGCAGTAGATTAATTTTTGTTATCACTAAACAGATATATAAATGTTTATGAGGTATTTCTTTTATTTTTGCTGCATTATTTACGTATGAAGTAAGAAAAATTCCCATATTCAGTTCAAGATCCGCTCCCAAATTCTCATTGTCTGTCCCAAAATAAAATCGGTAAAGGTCAGTAAACTTTAAAGTTTGCGGTAAACTCAGACTTTACTAAATATTTTGGAAAAATTTATGCTCTGAATAATAACATTAGAAACATTTATCTTAAAATGTTCCTCATTACATTGTATGATATCAATTAAAAAATGGAAATGATATTGTATGATCCAAAAAGAGTTGTACCCCACCCCCAGGAAAAGGCTTTATTATTGCAGCAAGAAGTACCTTCAAATTCCTACTTTCCTACTTAGGATACCCTTGCTTGGCTTATCTAAGATAATGATAATTCATGTTTCCCATATATTTTATACTCAGTATAAACAAGAGGCCCATGGGCCACACCGCTAACCTGAGCAACTATAGTCAATTACTCCAACCCAAACAGCTTTAACAAATTAGAAATATCTGTACAAATTTAGTTTTTTATATTGAGTTTTTGATACATATTCTAACTTTGAGATTTTTCTCCAAAGATTTTCATATGTAAAATTTACAGTAAATATTCTGTTCCCCCCTCTCCCATTGTGGTTGTACCCTATCATGACCCCCTGTCATCATCATCAAATTTGAATGTACATTATATGAATTTACATTTCAGAAAACCTCTCTGGTCAAGTAGTTTTGGAAAAGAAAATTCATAAAAAAATTTCCTATAAATACTCCCATGGATACCCCTCCCCCATTGTGGCCCCACCGTACCCCCAGGGGTCATGAAAGGTCATGATAAGATTTAAAGGAAATTGAAAATGCTTCCACATAAGTTTCAACATTCCTGGCCAAAAGGTTCTTGATAAGAAGATTTTTAAAGATTTTCCCTATATATTACTATGTAAAACTTCAACCCCCCATTGAGGCCCCACCCTATCCATGGGGGTCATGATTTTAACAATTTAGAATCTACACTACCTGAAGATGCTTCCACATAAGTCTCAACTTCCCTGGTCAAATGGTTCTTGAGAAGAATATTTTTAAAGATTTACCAAAAAATTTCAATATTTCTTAATTATCTCCCCTTGGTAAAGGGCGTGGTCACTCATTTTTACAATTTTGAATCCTCTTCACATAAGGAATTGCTTTGTGCCAAGTTTGGTTGAAATTGGCTTAGTGGTTTTGGAGAAGAAGTCGAAAATGTGAAAAGTTTACTGACAGCTAGACAGACTGACGACAGACAAAATGTGATCAGAAAAGCTCACTTGAGCTTTCAGCTCAGGTGAGCTAAAAAGTAAAGCACATTACATTTGTTGAATCATAAAGATGAAAAAACTTTCAAATTTGTTAATATTCATTTCGAATTTTCAATAACTATAACATGTTTAAACAGAACTGAAGTCATGAGAGCATTTTCTTATATCATATATAAAGTACATTTGATATTCTTAATTCTTATTATGATCTCTTGAACAACCAGTATGTTTTTTTTTCGGGGGGGGGGGGGGTATTTGTAAGAAAATCTGTTCTGCTTCACATCTGCTAAATTGTGTAGAAATACCAGTATAGCACATTTCTGCTTTTACAGATTATATACATGTCTATTACCTGTGTATATATAAAGAATATGTATTAGCAGTGCTTAATAACTCTTTTATTGTTGAGGTCATATTTTGAACAAGTTGAGACCTGCAGTGTTAAAATTGTTACAAAAATTTTTACACCTTTAGTTTAATAACTAATTGTGTAAAAATACGTACCAGCTAAACACATTTCTTCATTTTCATTACTTTGCTTGATATGTATCAGTAGTGCTCAACTCTTTGTTGTTGTCATATTTTCAATAAATATCCATAATTTCTTTTATTAAAGTTTGTGAATGTGTCGATGTATCTATTTTGTAAATGTCCGATATGCACATGGATGCATTCATAATGTCAACCCGTGCACGCACGGGTCAAAGTCTAGTTTTTAAAAATAAAAACTCAACATTTTCTAGTGAAAATTGCATGGCTTATTTTAATTCTTATGGGATCCACAGAAAGTGTCACTCTAACTAAAAAGTAAACAGATAAAACAATCTACAAACGCTGATAGCCTCCATAAAGAGTAGATACCTTTTCGTCTAATTATTGCTAAAAATGTTGCGTAAAGTTTTTATTAAGATGTCATAACCACCTTTAACCAAGTTCATCTTTTTCTAATGACTTTTTATAGCTTTAAAAAGTTTACATTCAAATTTTGGTGCTGGTTAAAGGTGGTTATGACATGTGTAGGAGTTGTCAAACACACCAACCCTCTTATGTTTTCCCATTGCGCTAATGTTAATACGGAGCGATGGTACATCACTTTGAGACCCCATATCATAAAAAAATACTAGAGGATTAGTAACCAAACAAGTTTTAGCATTAAATTGGATCTTTAGCTCGATGATTCATACAGTTTTTAAGGGAAAAATATATTTTGAAATTTGGGAGTCATTGTAGGCCGGAAAACGGCCTTATAGAGAATGAACCTTTTCACTGTCTCTATATTTTTTTCTTTCTCACTTTTTATAAAATGCTTAAAAGCATTTCATCCATGATTTTTTTTCTTTTAAAATCTTTTAATTATATGTCACAAGTTTCAAATAAATTTCATCATGATTTTTTTTTCTTCTAAAATCTTTTAATTATATGTCACAGGTGATAAAAGTCATGTCTTAACCGGGAATCGAACCCAGGGCCTTTTGCATACTGTGCTAGCGCTCTCACATCTGCGTTATTAAGACCCCATATGTTAATTTTCAAACATCTGTGAACCCGGTGACACATTCCCCTTTTTTAAATTCGTCCTCGACTTCTATGAGTTAAAGAAATGTTGTAAGGCATGTTCCTAGAAAAAAAAAAGGTACTTACAAGTTGGGCGCTTACTGTTATAGGTGATGAAAAATGTATATTAAATATATATATATATATATATATATATATATATATATATATATATATATATATATATATATATATATATATATATATATATATATATATATATATTTGTACATGTAAATAATGCTTGGCAATTTAATGAAATTGGAGAACATCAGTTCAACTTCAGTGACTAATAACCGTTCAAAACCCCATTTTTTAAAGGGAAATACTTTGCAATGAAATTGAAATGTTGGAGATATAATTTTTTCTTGGAAACTCTTATAGTCCTACTCAATAGAAAGCCATTCATTTTTAAATCATGTTGATATTCACTATGGTCTATGGGACATAAAATCATTAGAATTTGCCAACTATTGAATGTTGTAATTGGGGCTAATTATTGTGTGTCAACTTAAAAGTAGTTTAACATGACCCACTTTTTAAATCTTTTAGCCGATTATTTTTAACGGCGTTAATGTTACCTTTTTATCTACTTGAAAAGAAGAAGTCTCTTGCTGTGGTCTTCAATTCGACATGTAGACACATGAATATCAACGACGTTTTATCAATTAACGATACTCATTTTCATTCCTTTGTTGATTAGATATATCCATTTGAACTCGAAATGAAAGACACAACAGAGACTGACACATCTGTTTCATATTTGAATATTTTATTAGAAAAAGACATTAATGGCAACCTGCATGTAACAATAAAACTTTATGATAAACGTGGTGACTTCTTTTCTATCGTCAACATCCCTTAATTATGTAGCAATATACCATTAGCACTCCAGTTGATACAATACGCAAGAGCATGCGCTACGTATGAACAAAATGTTGCAAGCTACTGACAAATAAGTTGATGATACAAGGATATCAACAGTTATGTTCAACATTTCACAAATTCTGTGGTCGATACAATAACCTTGTCAGCAAATACAACCTATCGTTTAGTCGAATGTTGACTTACGTTTTTCATACTAATTGTTTGGCCACTGTTTTCACATTGAATTGTCTAAGGAATTTTTTTCTGTTTGCCTGATCATGACAAGGAGCACAAGGCAGGTGTGACGGGTCAACAGGGCATACTAACTTCTCCATGGCACCTGATCCCCCTCTGATGTTTTTAGAGGTCCGTGTTTGCTTTGCTCTAAATGTGTATTCCAATGGACTTTGGAGCTATACTACTGTTATCTTCATCTTGTACTAGCTGCAGAACTGCACCACTCTGCTTGAGAAAATTCGGACAAACCTGATACTCAGGATTTTTATTGCTAGGATTCAAACCCAAAGAATACTAATTTATTTAATTTTAATAATAGAATAATTTTTGCTGAGAAAATTTTCTGCAGAAAAGTTTTGTTTGTCATAATTTCATAAATTTCAACAAAAACTTTACTCTAAATATTAAATTTACAAATTGAATTTGATTTTTATATATCTTGCATGCCTTGTTTGCCCATCTTTCATCCTTTCTTTCTCTCAAACTTATATATATAAATATAAATGTAAAAATATATACAGTCAAACCTCGTTATCACGAAGTCGAGGGGATCGAGAAAATACTTCGATAACTGAGGATTCGAGATATCCTGGGTAAAATACTTAAGGAATAAGCAGTTGGGACTTCAAAATTACTTCAACATATCTATGGTATTTGAGATATCCTATCGAGATACCGAAGTTCAACTGTATATATATATATATAGAAAGAGGGGGGTGTGAATGTGTGTAAGATTTATATGGCAGTACTTGAGTAAATAACAACACTTTTTCACCATTTCTTAGGTACAAAGACCTCAGTTTATTCATTTCTTCTCGAAGATTATTAATCTTCTTGATTCACTTTCTCACTGTCTAATTTCAACTGTGAAAAAAAACATTTTGAATGTTAAAAAAAAATTACACTGAACAATGTCTACACAACTGGTTTTAAAACAAGAGTCAAAGCAACAAAAGAAAAAAAGCCTTACTGCATATAATGATTGAGAAGTCAACAAAACTAACAAAATAATCAAATGTAACAAACAAATAGCACGGATTATCACATGATCAGAGTAACAGGTATGGCAAGCTGATCAGCTGATCAATAAACATCCTTAATGTCACCTACATTCCACAAACACCTGCAACTGTCAATGGTTACTCAAATTCTTGAATTATCTCTTTTCCCTTACATAATGGTCAAACCAGTAAGATTATACAAATGTTAAGTCAAACAATAAGCTGTCCATACATAATTAAATTATTATTAGCATGTACAATATTTACAACTGAAATGTATATAGTTAAGCATTATATCAAGGTTTCTAAGAAATATACATGCATTCATGTTTAAATAAAATCTTTTTGGAGAAATTCTTGCTTAGAAAGGAACTTCTGTACAAAAAAATATTTGATATTTCTTTTATATAATTAATTATAATGCTTCTTGATGCACATCAGTTGGTGTGCATTTAATGTCTCGTGACAGAACTTGACAACCATCAGTAGCAGCTCTCTCTATATATCACATATCAGAACACTCCAGGAATTTTTGTCTTAGCTAGGGTAACAACTGACAATGAATGGTCATTTAATGTTAAAATCCTGGCTGAGCCATTAACAAACCTGACATTTTCGTCTTAGTGAAGACATTAAACAGATTGGTATATATTGTTCTTATTAAGACAATAACAGATCAGTCATTATTGCCCTAGTTCGGACAATTATATACAACAAAATTGCTCATAATTGCCCTAGCTAAGATAAACAGACTGGTCATTATTGTCCCTGCTAGGATGACATTAAGTGGGTCAGTCAATTGGCCCTTGCTAGGACAAACTTGAACAGACTGGTCAATTGGCCCTAGCTAGGACGACATTGAACGGACTGGTCATTATTGTTTTGCTCTTCCTCGTCCACATCAAACACTCCCGTGATCCTGTACCCCATGTTCATCAGCATGACCTCCAGGGGGTCAGCATTCATCCTCTTTTGATTGGCTACAGCTGCATCATCAGAATTGTCCACTTCTCGCTCATCTTTTGTACCATCCTGTACAAACACAGATAAGTCAACATCAGAATTCTATGAAAAGATTTCATCTGACTTTTCTTTTGTACTGTCCTGTACATTATAGATGAGTTAACTCAGCATCAGTTTTCTACTTAAGTTATACATGTATAAACGTTGTCAATCATTTCTGCTGTGCAGTACTGAGTGAACACCTCTACATTGAACTTTAGAGTATTGTTTTTGAACCTCTTAACAACCTTCAAGAAAAGAAACCTGACAGTAAACTTATATGACCTTAAAACATTTTGAAAGGTCAAGGTCAAATAATGAAAAATGTGAATCAACAGCATGACTTTGTTTTAAGACTTAGTTTAAATTCATAACATCAGAAATATAAGATATTAACAAGAGGCCAATAGGACAGAATGCTCCCCTATGTCACCTTGGGCCTGCTGTTCTTTACAAGAAAATTCTTAAAAGATATTTTAATCAGATCACTAAATTGTATTCTGATAACTTAAATGTGAATTCCTGAATCAGAAAGTTTGAATATATATAATTATTATGTTGATGGTGCAATCGTTAGGGAGAGCACAGTTGTGTATTAGTCTCTCTTAGCTTACATCTGCCTCTTCAAACAGCATGAGACACACTGTGCATCACATGACATTGTAATGGAAAAATATTCACATCTGGATCAATGTACACACTCCAAATTTTCTCTGTGCCCAGGTGTTGTCATAAGAGCTTGCTATAAATATTCATATAATTCAGACAAAATAATAATAAATATTCATATATTTAGTGTGTTACCTCTGCCCTGGGGCTCCAGAGCCTGACAACTGGGTCAATACCACTGGTTGCTAGGAGACACTGGGTGGGATGGGGCTGGAGGCAGTTAACAATGGAGTCGTCTCCCCTTAACACTCTTACAATGTTAGTTGTGTCTCTCTCCCAAATAAAAAATGATCCATCGTCTGAGCCTGCCACTACATACTGACCATTGCTGTGGACAATCAACATGTTAATCAAATAAAAAATGATCCATCGTCTGAGCCTGCCACTACATACTGACCATTGCTGTGGACAATCAACATATTAATCAAATAAAAAATGATCCATCGTCTGACCCTGCCACTACATATTGACTATTGCTGTGGAAAATCAACATGTTAATCAAATAAAAAATGATCCATCATCTGAGCCTGCCACTACATACTGACCATTGCTGTGGACAATCAACATATTAATCAAATAAAAAATGATCCATCGTCTGACCCTGCCACTACATACTGACCATTGCTGTGGACAATCAACATGTTAATCAAATAAAAAATGATCCACCATCTGACCCTGCCACTACATACTGACCATTGCTGTGGACAATCAACATATTAATCAAATAAAAAATGATCCATCGTCTGACCCTGCCACTACATACTGACCATTGCTGTGGACAATCAACATGTTAATCAAATAAAAAATGATCCACCATCTGACCCTGCCACTACATACTGACCATTGCTGTGGACAATCAACATATTAATCAAATAAAAAATGATCCATCGTCTGACCCTGCCACTACATACTGACCATTGCTGTGGACAATCAACATGTTAATCAAATAGAAAATGATCCATCATCTGAGCCTGCCACTACATACTGACCATTGCTGTGGACAATCAACATATTAATCAAATAAAAAATGATCCATCGTCTGAGCCTGCCACTACATACTGCCCATTGCTGTGGAGAATCAACATATTAATCAAATATCCTTGTAGTTCATTTTAAATCATTATCATTATTTTATAATGCAGCAGTATTATCATGATTATTCGGCCCATACTGGGAAGAAACTGCAAGCGTAACAAATTATGCTGCTTTTCAATGTTCTTACAAATCTTCCTTAAAATAGAATAATGTTAAAATCCAGTAAATCCGTGACTCTTTGCAACACAGGACTTATAGCTCACCTGCCAAAATAGTTCGCTTCTTTAATATCTGTCGTCGTGTTACAGTGACCACAGAATCTGGCCTCGTAATCGTTGGCCAAGGCTCGCCAGCAAGCCTCCTGGTCAGAGATGGAAAGACCTCGCTTTCCCGGAGAAACAGAGTCTGAAGTATCAGAGGACGACTCATGCTTCTCTTCTACAAAGATCAAGAAGGAACTACACACTGATTTGTAAAATCATTAAATATAAACTAATTCATTCTCCTTCAATAAAAGAGTAAAGGTATGTGTGTGTGAAGGGAGTGGGGGGGGGCTTCGCTTCCACAAAATAAAAACAATCATATAAAAGCATTGGAATCAAGGGATTGTTAAATTAAATTGCTTTGAACTAACCCTCATGATCTGTTTTTGAGTAAATAGCTGTTTTGAACTGACCCCCATGATCTGTTTTTGAGAAAATAGCTGTTTTGAATTAACCCCCATGATCTGTTTTGGAGTAAAAAGTTGCTTTGAACTAACCCTCATGATCTGTTTTGGAGTTAATTACTAAGTAGCTGTTTTGAACTAACCCCAATGATCTGTTTTTGAGTAAATAGCTGCTTTGAACTGACCCCCATGACCTGTTTTTGAGTAAATAGCTGCTTTGAACTAACCCCCATGATCTGTTTTTGAGTAAATTACAAAGTAGCTGTTTTGAACTAACTGTCATGATCTGTTTTTAAGTAAATAGCTGTTTTGAACTAACCCTCATGATCTGTTTTGGAGTAAATAGCTGCTTTGAACTAACCCCCATGATCTGTTTTTGAGTAAATAGCTGCTTTGAACTAACCCCCATGATCTGTTTTTGAGTAAATAGCTGTTTTGAACTAACCCCCTTGATCTGTTTTTGAGTAAAAAGCTGTTTTGAACTAATCCCCATGATCTGTTTTAGAGTAAATAGCTACTTTGAACTAACCCCCATGATCTGTTTTAGAGTAAATAGCTGCTTTGATGTCTTTGTCCAATGTTTCACATGCGTTACTCTTTGCGTAATCAGGAAACTTATGCTTGAATTCCTGTAAACAATCGTAAGCTTCCTGGGGCCATGAGAGTTCATAAAGACACCGGGCCAATCGAAAGTGAGCTTTTAAATGGTTTGGGTCAATGTGAAGAGCACTGTGACAGTCCCGAAGAGCAGCATACAGATCTCCATCCCTGTCAATGTACAAGCATACAGGGTACATACACATATAAATCAATGTCAGCATGGATACAAGCAGTATGGTAATCTGAAACATCTACAGACCCTGAAACGTGCTACTACCCCAAAAAAGCGTGTGACTTTCGTGAGCTTTTCGTTTCGTGCAAACCGTGTAGCGTTTCGTGTAAACCGTGCAGCGTTTCGTGCAAACCGTGTAGCGTTTCCTGTAAACCGTGCAGCGTTTCGTGTAAGCTCCAAAGCGTTTTGTGCAAACCGTGTAGCGAGCATGCGAGAAGCGTGTGAGAAACGTGCGACTTTCGTGTAAGAACCGTGTGAGAAACGTGCGACTTTCGTGCAAGAATTGTGTGAAAAACGTGTAGGATTCATTCGGAAGTCATTTTATTTTGAATATGGATGGATCAACATGTCATTCTGTGTTGTTTGTAAGTAATATTATTCGCATATATTAAATTTGTATACCGGTGGTATAAAATAAAAATACGGAAACAACAAATTAAATAAAATTACTCGGTAATGTATTACATATTTGTTTGTTCTTCTTCCTTTTTTAAAAAAATAAAGATGGACATAAAATATGTTCAAAGTTATTAATTATATGTACATCAATTTAGAGGTATTTGATTCAATACATTTTTTAAAGGGGGCAATACTAAACATTTTTTTAAAAAAGAAAATTCACCAAGAATCCGGTCTTGTCCTTTTCATTCATTCATTTGAATCTCTTCACCATTTTACAATAATGGTATATAGAGATTACAAGAACATATGGGTGATTAATACAAAATAATAGATAGATAAGGCAGGCATGAAAAATAAAATACAAAATTTAGTGCGTTGCTATAAATGTGAAGTATGGGAATTCTAGGCCGGGGAGCACAGTTAATTCATTTTCTTTATAAACGAACATAATTTTCTTATATCACAAGATTGTGTTACAAATAGTTTTGAAACGAAGAGTATATATAGTCTTTTTATGCATACAATTGGTTGATTAATAATTGTCACATAAATGAATTATAATTCACATGCTTCGGCAAATACAGGGTAAATTATTTCCGGGGGGGGGGGGGGGGGGGGGGGGTGTTCAAATGAAAACACAAACTGAGCTTTTGTTGTTAAGTGTTTTATATATAATTTTGTTTTTAAAGAAATCTATTGCTTTTTTTCGGGGTGCGCCCGATGCACCCCTAAAAAATATACTAGAACCTTCTTAACACTTACAACACTCTTCTTACGACAGTGATCAAGGTCATTCACAACAGCGATCACGGGCACCTCGTGCCGGGAACTGAAAATTTGTTCTGTCATTACATGTATCTCTTGTCAATCATAGCTAAGATGACACGGGACAATAACGATTGATTTTGATTAGTGAAATTAAATTGTTTTATTAGTATTTAATGGGTACAAATAAATACGGTCCGTGGATTTTATTTCTTAAATTTATCCGATTGTCTGTAAACAGTGAATTAATTTGCCAGTGTATTCGCGAATAAAAAAAATATATAGAAATACATGTAAATCTTGAGTACAGTGTAATTATTAGTTGTTTTATTAATCACGCAATTACAGAGCATAATTTTTAGTTTATAGGACATAGGACATGTACATACATGTATATTGAATGTATTGCTAAAAGCCGCGACTTTTGTTTAATTGTCTACGGGTTTGAAATCAAGGATTTTACAAAGTGGTGGATATATTGTTTTTATTTGATAAACACAATGCCTCAAACGAGAACTAAAGAATTACAATACCTTTCTCCCCGGCTTCTCTACTGTATAAAATTTTATGATAAAGTTTAACTCTGTAATGAAACGATTATTTATCATTCTGAATAAAGTGCATTTAATGAATTACATGTATCTGGTCCCTCTGAATATCCTTTTATTTTCTTAGAATGGGCACCGTTTCTATAATAATATTTCCCCCAATGTTATACTAACTGAAACAAGTGCCCGTTATATTTAGCCGTGTACAGATTTGAAGATACAACAGCAAGATCTCGGTAATCTACCTCCCCCCTCTTCCTGCACAATGTAGTGTACATGTCACTTTTTCAAATTATAAACAGAACCTAATCTAATCCAATGAATATATTTTTTTTTTATAAATCAAAAAATGAATAAATCAATCAATAATTAAAAAAGAAAGAAAAGAAAATCGATTCGCTTTCAAAAACCATACGCAATTTAATCATTTTTTTTTTCAAATCAATAACTGAGTTTATTTGTCAGTAATGAAATGACTTTTTAATATCAAACTATAGGATAATTGTAAAAACATTGGATGCTTTAAAAGATTATGAATTACAAATATAATTATTTTTTTCAGTGCGTAATTTAGAGTCTATTTAAAAAGGTTTGTACATAGACGATGATAAGCATTTCACCGAGCGGGCACATACTCAATGATAACTACATCTGTATTAATTAATTACAACCGAAGATTGAGTATTTTACCTGTTAATATAGTACTGGTGTAGCGAGTTTTAATCTTAAACTGAATGATTGCAATTCTTAACTAATCTTTGATTAATCCGTAATAATTTAAATAAAGTCCGAGAGATTCCGAATAGAAAATCCAGATCGAGGCCAAAGCGTGCGAGAATCGTGTACAAAGCGTGTGAGAAACGTGTACAAAGTGTTTCCTGCAGGCTTCCGTGTAAACCGTGCAGCCTTTCGTGCAAAGCGTTTCGTGTAAACCGTGTAGCGTTTCGTGCAAACCGTGTAGCGTTTCGTGCAAACCGTGTAGCGAGCGTGTACCGTTCGTGCAGCGTGCGTGTGGGGTAGTAGCACGTTTCAGGGTCTGTATATATGTATCTAAAAAGCAAAATAAAAAAAAATTTCATAGAAAGTCTTCTGGAAAAATCTTGTAAATCATTATGTATTTCTTGGAAAACAGCAGAAAGAGTTATTGGCTCTAATCTTTCAAGTTTCAAAAAACATTTCAGCAGATCAAGAAACCAAAGTCAATGCAAGCCCCTTAAACCAAAACATACGCTTAACCCACCACTTCCTTTTCATAAAGGCTGCGGCCCTATTGCCATAGAGCACTGATGCCCAGGGGGCCCTCTGGATGGCCTGGTTATACAGAATAATGGCTTTAGAGCACTGATCCATCTCAAAGTAACGATTGGCTTTCTTCTTAATAACCTCCACAGCGGGGGGGATCGGTTTGGCACTAGTCGGGGTTTTCTGCCTGCAAAACAGAACTGGGTGTACAAAAAAATCTTATTATGAAATTCAAGCTAATTATTGTAAATTTAAGCAGTTGGTTAAAAATAATTTCAAACACTTTTTTTTTAAAATAATTTTTTCATCTCTTTTTGTTTACATTTACATAATGCACTTACTCCCCGCTCCCTCAATCTAGTTTTAGACCCCCATCTCTCTTTGTTACCTCTTTTTTGCTGAGGGGTCTCTGTGTTTTTCCTCCACTTCCATCTCTGCCTTCATCACTGCCGCAGCAGCAGCCGTCACTCCATTGGAGACCCCATTTGTCACACCGTTAGAAGCACCATTCTTATGGGAGTGTAAGTGGAAGCCATTACTGCTACCAGCATCTGTGTCAAATATTTACACTGGTATTAAAGTTTGTACATGTATATGAAGTCTTAACTACTAGTAGGACTGTTGGAGGCACACATGCATAAAATATTGCATCTTGAAAAAAATCAAGTGGAATAAACTCATTAAATGAAAAGGGTGAAGATAATGAACTGTGATCAATCTCATAAATCTTGTGAACAATATGAAATGTAACCAGGTCAAAAATATGGACCCCTGGAAAACCAGAGGAGGGATCAGGTGCCTAGAAAGACACACCCACCTTCTATTTTGATCAGGTAAATGGAGTACTCAAGTTCTGTAGTCAAAATTAGTAAAAACAAAAAAAAAATAACAAGAAGTCTGTGAGCCAGTGCTCACTAGTAAAACCCCTGCTCTGATGTGAATATACCCTCTCATGTGAATATACAGAAGTTCAGTTAAAGACATCAGATTCTTACAAAAATGAATCCCACCATATGGCATGCCTTAGCAAAAAGTATGTTAAAATTTCAAACATCTGCCTTGAGTAGTTGTTGAGAAAACTGTGACAGGAATTTGATATGGACAGATGCACTGACAAACAGGATGTTGGCATCAGATTCGTACAAAAAATGTCTCCCAATATATGGCATGCCTAAACAAATAGTGTGGTAAAATTTCAAGCATATACAAAGAGTAGTTGCTGAGAAAACTGTGACAAAAATTTGATATGGACAGACCCACAAATAAACAGGAAGTTGACAACAGATTCATACAAAAATGAATCCCACCATAAGGCATACCTAAACAGAGTGTGTTAAAATTTCAAGCATCTGCGAAGAGTAGTTACTGAGAAAATTGCGACAAAATTTGTTGCAGACAGACGGGCGGACACACAGCTTGAAACACAAGGAAAAAAACGTATACCCCCCTGCTTTGGAGCAGGGGTACGAAAAACTTTGGCCTAGTAATTGGCAAGAAACACTTCAGTCAAAATATGAAGCAAGTATATGCTGTGTTTGCAAACAAGTTCATTATAATGACCATAAAATTTCAAACTGACTATAAACAAATAGGCCCTTGTAACATTAATTTTCAGTACTTTAACTCGGTTTACAAATTGTATGTACTTAGAACTAGGGGTGAAACGATACACCTCCTTCACGGTTCGATACGTATTGTATAATTTTGTCTCGGTTCGGTTATTTTCGATACGATACATTTTGATAGAAGGAAACACATTCAACGTTGTTTCATGCTTTCTTTTTCTAAATCTAGTCACATACATGTATTTTACGAATTTTATTTGCAAATTGACTAGAAGAAATTGATTAAAATTATTTGACTGTCAAAAATTATTTTACAAGCTATCAGTCATCAAAAATTTACGTTTTCTATACTTAGTTAAAATACTTGTAGTTGTACTGCGTAACGTGTTTTACCTTATGTCAAACCCGACTGAATAACGATCCCGACCGAAAAATGAACCGAACCGAAAATTAGAGATTTTGCACCGTGTATCAAACCGAGAAAAAATACCGCGGTGAATCGATACCGCGGTGAACCGTTTCACTCCTACTTAGAACATACTCTTATGCATGGAAAAAATTGGGAGACATAAACATTATATGCAGGTGACAGTGGCATAATTACTACATATAAATATTGGAAATTGAAAATGAAAAGCTGAAGTTATCTCGTTTGCCATAGAATATAGTTGTTAGTTGGCCATTAACATTTACAGCCAATAAAGCAATATGAAACAGATGTGGCTGATTCCGTAATCAATGTTTAAGCATCAGTTTTTTTAATATTTTTAACTAATCAAAACATTTTCAATGATTCTACAAGTTATGATCAGGCGTGGTATAGGGTATATTACGAAACCCAGTAATTGATCTTTATTCTTGAATTTTTACGATAAAATTTATTTGCTGTAAAATTGTAAGGGTAAAAGTTAAACTTTAAAAAGTCAATGTTTCTAACCTTGTTGTTTGCTAATTGAAGTAGTTATGTGGTTATTTTACTGTTTTACTGTTTGTTGTGGATTTTCTTTTCCTGCCAAAAAACTGATGATTCATGTAATTTGCCACATCACTATTTAATAATAAATCCACAGCAACTATCAGTATTAAGGTCCCCCTTTTTCTTTCATAAGAATAAAAACATTATCTGTATTTTGTACAGAATTAATTGTATATATACTTGATCCAATTTTATTTTCAAGTTATTCATTGTGACCATTTTTCAAAGAAACTGAAATTTTCTGTTTTCTTCTGCTGATGCATGGACTGATGCCTTTGGTTGAGTAAAGCCAGTTATGATTCCTAGTATGGCTTTCATCTAGGGTCGAGGCCATAAAAAATCAGTTCAGTTAATAAAGAAGCATAAATAACCATCAAAATTTCAACAGATTTTTGGAAGACCTGGTCTCCAAAAACTACATAGTTGTTAAACAAATAAAAAATAATTTCTCTGACCTTTAACAATGCCATTGGCAGCCAGTACCATAGATATGTCAAATTTTTCTGCCTTTCTGCGTCTGTTGACATCAAAGATGTAGACCTGTTCTCCCCCCAAATTGACCAGTAATTCCCGACCATCGGGGCTAAAGGTCAGATAGGTGGATGCCAGGGTTCTGTAGCGCTTCTTGTAATCTTGCTGCTTTTGTGGCAGATGACCTAAACACAATCAAAATATAACGTGTTTATAAAAATAATGATTATAAGCCTGTTAATGTGCAAAAATATGTAGCTAACAGAAATGACAATCAGTAATCAAAAATGGTAAAAAGTAGGACAATTTGACAAACTTTAAAATACATCCAGAGAATCATAGGCTGTTTTTTGTTCTCCCTCTATAATCAGGATAAAAAAAGACACTATCTTCCACTTAAGCTTATGTTTCAACTGCAGGTGTACACGTACCTGCAATAAAATATGTAACAGCGTCATGAGGAATGGGAAATTCATCAGGTGAGGCCGGGACCAAGGGACTAGACCTCTCCCAGGACCAAGGAGATCTGAAATGTAAACAATGTATGATCTTTACTCTATTAGATGGAAATGTTGCTACACTATCAAGCTCTTCAATGATTGCCTTTTCATTAGACTGACAATGATAATGCTTGCACTTTTTAGAGTTCTCTCCCCTCTCATGAGATTCATTCTCAACTGAAGCATTGTCTCCTAAAATCTTCTTGATTAAGCTGTTATGCTAATCTGCTAGCCATTTTATACTTTATACTGCAATAGGCATCAAAAAATATATATAAAATGTTCAAAAACATTCTAATAAATGCCGAGTCACACCATATTATTTTGATCAAATTGTCATATAACTGTAAAAATGGAAACTATTAACCCTTGTGACCTGTTTGTGCTTTCCTGTGGTAGTTTGAGACTGCGGCAGACCAGCATGCGTCGGTCATACATTCTGATGTACGGGTCGTTAGCTCCGACAGCCAGGTACTCGGGGCATAGTGGATTGATCGCCAGACACTTAGCCTCCGCACTGTGACCCATGTGAGCATTCAGGTTTACGATAACATTCTTTGGATTAGACTGGCTGGACTCTGGGCTTCTGAGATCAAACTGCCTAAAACAGAAGGAGAAAAACAATGTCAAAATTCTGTATCAATGAGAATTCTAAGAAACCATTTCATATAAAATTTATTCAGTTGTAGTTTGAAATTGTTCTTTCTCTGCTTACCTCCCTTGAGGTAAAACTAGAAACAGGGATTATAAATGCTAGTAACTTTGATTTTGGCTCATAATAAGGAAATAAAGTTAAATATCTCACTTTTCCATCAGAATTCATCTTTTTATTACCTAGTTACAGAGTGGAAAATATGTGGTGTTTTCGGGGATGAATTACTGTAAAAGTAGAAATTTGTTGGGGATTTAATAAATTTTGTTTATTACAATGTTAAAGATAAACAATGAAATTAAATCCCAAATTAAATTTCATTTCACTTTTCACTGAATATAGTAATTTTTGTAACAATGAAATTAAATCCCCAAGAAACCTTTTTTAAAGGAATATTTCTGCTTTTACATTTCATATTTCATCTGTTATCATTTTTGATAAATCAATGCTCCTCTATTTAGAATTTGTAAAAATTGACCACTGTTGTCAGTATTGTGAGGAGGGTAGTATTATCAAGACCTAGTGAGAGTGGACAGCATTTCTCTAAATAAATGACTAAAAACTGTAGAAGCAAACATTTCTGTGCTGATATATTTCGTTAATTAACTCACTTCCATGGAACCATAGCCCCTTAATTTCCCAAGTTATTTCCTTACATCATGTTTTGATTTATCAAAGAGAGTCCATGCACATCTTATACAATTATTCATCCTCTTTCTGACCTAGATGTGTATGTCAATATCTTACATGTATATGTCAATATCTTACATGTGTATGTCGATATCTTACATGTGTATGTCAATATCTTACATGTGTATGTCAATATCTAACATGATGGTTCCATCCTCTCTCTGACTTACATGTGTATGTCAATATCCTACATGTGTATGTCAATATCCTCCATGTGTGTGTCAATATCCTCCATGTGTATGTCAATATCTTACATGTGTATGTCAATATCCTCCATGTGTATGTCAATATCTTACATGTGTACATCAATATCTTACATGTGTATGTCAATATCTTACATGTGTATGTCAATATCTTACATGATGGTTCCGTCTTCTGCGGCACTCCAGAACATGAAAGGCACATTAGGCGCCACAGCAAGGCGTTTCACCCGCCCCACGTGACAGGAGAAAACGTGGGTGTTTTCATTAACACTCAGGTCATGTACTCGGATCTTACAATCAGCAGCTCCTGTCACCAGAATGGAGTCTTTGGTATTGGGCAAAAACTATGGGAAAGATTAATTTTCTTTACATGTATTATGTCTTCCTTTGTAAAATAACAGAAAATAACACATAATTTGATTAAATTACATGAAAACAACACTGTGTGAAATATCTTGATCAGTTCATCACCAATAATGGCTTTCAAAAAAAGTTTCTCCTCTGTAAAAGCAAAATTGGCAATGTATGAAATCAAAGCTGTATTCCGTATAATATTTAAAGTTGATAGTGGTGTTTTGGCCTACTTACTTTAACAGAAAATATATTCCCCTGGTGTCCAGTGCTGACTGTGGTTTTTGTGCGGTTTCTGAAGGGATCCCATAGAATTACATTAAGGTCATCTGACCCACTGGCCAATAACCTGAAAAACAGATGTTCTGGTAAATCACTCTTAATGCTCTAAAAAATACAGCTGCATTAATCATGTGTTAATAAGATGTGAATGAGAAACACAAGAAAGTAATCCTCAGCTATGACCCTGACCTGACTAGAAATATTTTTATTTCATTTATGACCTTGACCCGACTAGAAGTTATATCTTTTTCTTAAAACAATTAAATAGCTGCATCTGACTCAACATAGTTTTCACTTTCATAAGGGACATTAATTCTTGCTAAGTTATAATTCTGAAATCTTTCTGAATGAACCATTCATCATGTTCATTACAAGCTTAGTTTCCCAGTGAAAGATTTTATTATATCAATTCCTGTTCTGAGTGATGACATAAAGTTCATTATGTCAGCACATGTTCTATATAAGTAAGTAAAACTTATGTCTCCTTATCTAACTGACAAAGGAAGTTACTTACGTTCCCTGTTCGTTCCATTCAAGACAATTGACACAGCCATGATGACCCTTTAAACATAGATAAGTGTGTTGGATTAGCTCATATCAATACAATATCTAAGTATGTTTTCTGTGGTGGCCCGTCAAATACAGAACAATGTCCAAATTTCATAAATAAAAAAAACGAGTTTTTCGCAAGCAGTAGTTTTAAATGTACTTTCCATTTCTAAAAGTGCCAGAAAAAAAAGAAGATTTTTGAATGTCTTTAAGTCCTATAGAATGTAGAAGGGTTTTACTAATTACCTGCAGCTCCCTCTCCAGCCCAAGTCTCTGGATGAGATCTGGCGTTACTTGAAGCTGTCGTTGAAACTGGTGAGTATTTAAGCCCTGTCCACATACAAATATCAGACGTGAATAAATAAAACTAACAGAACAATCAAGGACATATATACTAGTGGGATAGGCAACTCCTTCAGTGCCATGTTTGCCCAAAACATCAAATACAACACAACAAGATTTTAAAACTATCTTTTTTCCCTTACTAGTATACATGCAAAAAGATTGTTTCCTAATAAAGGTATTCTGTTTTTTTTGTTGTTTTTTTTTTATTAAATTTTCATTTCAATTTTAAAATATACATTGTAAAATAAAAAGTTAAATATATAAAGCATACAACAACTCAATTCAGCAAATATTGGAAATATGGCTATCTGGGGCTTGTGTTCATTTTAAGTAAAATGTTACTTTAGAAAGACAGGGAGTATACATAGTGCTAACAAGAAATCTTGAATAAGTTTTTGATTGCTAAACTATAAGAACTGTGAGCACTGAGCTCACAAAATGATACCCCCTCCCCCCATATGTTTATAATGGCAAAGTCCATGTTTTGCTATCGGAGCCCCAAAATATGTGTCCGATCAAAAAATAAAATAGCTAGGAGTCACAATGGCACTATGTAACAAAGATTCTGTGAAAGTATCATTAAATTTTATTCAGTGGTATAAGAGGAGTTGGGGATTAAGAGATGTATACCCCAAAGCATAACGGATGAACATACAGACAGACGGACAAACATCCCATCACTATAAACCCCCGCTTTTCAAGCGAGGGGTATAATAAAGGTTTTATTCTCAAATATTTGATAGCATTAGAGATATTTAAAATTGACTTGTGAAATCCTGCAACTTATGAGATTTCCCAGCCTTACAAGAGTTGCCCATCATGTTAGTACATGTATACAATGACTGTATCTGACAAAAGTTTAGGCCATGATGACTGAACAGCCCCAACTTTCAGATACTAGAACTTTGACATACAAAAAAAATATTGGCTAAATACAGTTCTGTTCAATAAACTTAAGTTTCAAAATCTACTGGAACTTTTGTAAATATATAAATAACAGCAATTAAAAATGTATGCTGCTTTTTGTTTCAATAAAAAAAATGATTATGCTGACCTTAATTCTTTTAATTTATTTATCATATCAGATTCTATAAATGTTATTAAATGTCATGTTGATGCTTTGAATGCTCTTTACGATTTATTTGGCTAGTACAGTTAACCAACTTACATTTTTGTACAAAATATATAAGCATGTTTTTAGACCTTCTCTAACTAAGGCTGGCTGAAATTAATTCTACATTTAATGTCACCTAAAAAATTCAAAAATCTACGAGGGTGGGAGAAAAAATTTTAACAAACAAAAATTTCAAACAAATGGTTTTATTATTCTACCTTACACGAACCAAACTACTGTGAATACTGTAAATATTTGTGCATTATGTAGGCTTATTGTTTAATATTGTTTTTAGTAAATCTGTCAGTATAAGTGAAACATCTCAAATATACCTCATACAAGGTCAATATGATATCTATTCCTATGAGATGCAGTTTGCTAAAAGTCGAACCGAAAAACAAACTTAAAAAATACTGATTTGTTTGTTTTTTCAAAGTGTCAATTTTTCTGAAACGTATGCGGATGGGTGACGTTAAATGTAGAATTAACTTTGGACAGCCTAATGAATATTCCCACAACATCTGTTTTTTTTTTTAATTGTGTATTTATGTTGAATATTTCCTCAGTCACGAAATTAGTAGTTACGGTTGGACTTCAAACACAAGTTCAGTTGTGAATTAAAGTTGTTGCGAATAATGCAGTATTTTCATGATTCAATTGGGAAATGAATCATTTATTCTAATGCAATTGTTTCGCAAAACACATTTTGATTGGCTAATGGACTGAGGTTTGAAGAAGTTAACGAGAACGAAGGCTTTTAATTGTGACGTCATAATAGAACGACGCGAGAACATAACCCTTCATGATGTATTTCATATAACAAAACGTAACAAAATAAGACGTTAACATCAAGCAAAATGCATAAATTGCATTAAGAATAGGAATAACTGTCTTCTCAATTGTTATATGCAACCATTAATGCTGATTTAATGGTCGCAAACATCCGTTTTACCAGCTCTCCTGACGTGTTGCCAGTAAATCTCAGTTTGGGACCGTTAAATCAGCATTAACAGTTGCAAATACCAAATGAGAAGACAGTTATTCCCTAATTATTATTCTTTTTAAAGATCGACAATTAACGACTTTTTTGGTCATATTAAATGTAAGTTCATTTGACATCAGTGGCTAGAATAGCACATTTCACAGTCAGTTGGTCAGAGACTGGTCCAACATTGGTGACATTTGTTAAAATTTATCGAAGAAGAGGATCTAAGTTGGAGATGTAAAGATAGGTTCCTTATGGGTATCTGGCACTTAAGTTTGCCTGTATGTCAAACATATTACATCATCATCATGATTTGTGGAATAAACTGAACACATACGACGTTTATATCTTCGAAGAAAAAAGACCCACATTTCACTTATATTTTTCAAAGTAAATACACAGTTTTTTTAAATGACTGTAAATTTGACTTACACCAACTTCTCTTTGAAACTTTCTCTTTAGTATTCCAGACTGGAACGCCATTATATCAACCTATAAAAAATTACACCGGCAGAATTATCAGTACACCGGAAAAAATCGTAAACTGTCATAATAAATATAGAGAAAAAAGGCTTTTCTTCCAAGGTTTAAGGTTGTTTCAATAAAATAGCCATGTTATAGACAAAAACGCGAGCATTTAGTTTCAGTAACAAGATTATATTGGTAAATGTTTTGACAATTATTACGGAATGTCAAAACTGATTATTTACAAAACGAAGAAGTACGTATTGTTTGATTTTATTCGATAATAAATGGAAAAACTAAAAAAAGATATATTTCTTACAAGACAAAATCAATTTTTATAAGCCTGAATTACAATATTGTCTCTAAGATAAGAAATCAGTTTAAAATATCTCTTTTTTTCGATTTCGTTTTTTTTTATATTCATCTTTCGTTTAGAATATTTTTAATGAAAAATGCTTTTTCTGAATAAGAGAACAGAAGAGATATATTTCAATAAAATCAAATTTATTTTTTACAGAATATTTTTGAATAAAAATATTCTTCTCAAGAATGCATTTTTTGCGACATCAACATTATTGATTTGACTCGTTTCCGGTAAGGGCACCTGAGATCCAGTCAGACCAGTGCACTAACTGACTGAGTAGGGACAGTGTGACTTACTCGCTTAAAAATACATTAACATATTTCGTTTCATGACATAAAAATTCAGAATATCTTTATTTGCGTCATATTTTTGAATCCAAGTTACAACAGTGTGTTCCAAGCACACGTTTTAAGATCGTAAGAGGTAAGTCGACGTCATGTTGACAACAAAGTGAATATTTCGAATTTCCTCTGTAACTATAGTTGAATATTGTATTACCTTGCCCAAACTTTGAAATCTTGCTATGCTCATTTTGCTAAGGGATGAGTCACTACATGAAAAAGAACTGAATAAGTTAATTCTGTAAGCTAATCCCATTAGTGCTATCATTGAGCGAGCCAAGTTGTACGTATAAATATAATACCCATTGCTTTGAACTGACATTGTATCATAAAGAGTATCCTGGGGGAAATACTGCTGATTATCAATGTATCAATATATCAACTGGTTGTATTACTTGACCACTACATTTTCAAAATAGACATTACCGCTACATACTCAGCTACAAAATAGTTTACATTACTGCTATATGTGTAATATGTTGACGGTGTGACCATTGGGGCGAGCGCAGTTGTTCACTTAATTTTAAGATCCGCCTCTTCAAAAAGCACGAGACATTTGGAAAGTCTAGACTGTGATGTCCCATGATGTCGTGTATTAGCTGCATTTCCATAAAGGAAGTTTGAAAAGTGCAAAATTTTAACAAAGAAGTTTACTATCTACATGCAATATCCAGTAAATTAAGGTGAGTTTGTTTTTTGTGAATTTTTAGATGTTGTTACTGTGAGAACGAAGTTAGCAGCGAGAACAACAAGCGTTGCATTGTGGGTCTCGATGGATCAAAGTTTTACATAGGAATGTATATATAGGGAAAAATTTTTTAAAAATCTTCCTCTCAGGAACAGCATAGCCTTGTTGTCATATTGATATGGAAGAATTCTCAGGTAGTGTAGATTCAAGTTTGTTCAAATGATGATCCCCCAGGGGTAGGGCAACGCCACAATGGGTGATCAAATTTTTACAAAGGAATATATAGGAAAATTTTTTTCAAAAACTTCTTCACAAGATCAGAAAAGCCATGCTTAGTCATTCTGATATGGAAGCATCCTCAGGTAGTTTAGATTCAAGTTTGTTCAAATCAGGACCCCCAGGGGTAGGGTGGGGCCACAATGGGGGATCAAAGATTTACATTGGAGTGTATAGGAAAAAATCTTCTTCTCAAGAAAATAAAGCCATGTTTAGTCATATTGATGTGGAAGCATTCTCAGGTAGTTTAGATTCAAGTTTGTTGAAATGATGACCCCTAGGGGTAGGGAGGGGCCACAATGGGAGATTAAATTTTTACCAACGAATATATAGGAAAAATTTTTTTTAAAATCTTCTGCTCAAGAACAGTAAAGCCATTTGTTATATATTGATATGGAAGCATCCTCAGTTACTTTAAAATTGAAGTATCCCCCCCCCCACCCACCCCACCCCCCCCACCCCCCCCAAAGTAAACTTTTCAATACTGAACTGATTTGTCTTTTTCCTAGCTAATGTGCTCAGGTGAGGGATGTGGCCCATGGGCCTCTTGTTTTCAGTTGATAGGGGAAACAAACATTTTTTTTAGGCAAGTATTTTATGTTTAATCATCTAAAATTGATATTTTGTCTATCTAAAGGTTTTGTTAAGAATAACAGGGATGACACAAACAGAAAAAGCTGTAACAGTGCCTCACATTCATCATACCCCCCAGTTCTTGTAAGTATGATTATATCTCAGTACTTTTAAGTACCACATACTCCCCAGTTCTTGTAGGTACCATTATATCTCAGTACTTTTAAGTACCACACACTCCCCAGTTCTTGTAAGTACCATTATATCTTAGTACTTTTAAGTACCACATACTCCACAGTTCTTGTAAGTACCATTATATCTCAGTACTTTTAAGTACCACATACTCCACAGTTCTTGTAAGTACCATTATATCTCAGTACTTTTAAGTACCACACACTACACAGTTCTTGTAAGTACCATTATATCTCAGTACTTTTAAGTACCACATACTCCCCAGTTCTTGTAAGTACCATTATATCTCAGTACTTTTAAGTACCACACACTACACAGTTCTTGTAAGTACCATTATATCTCAGTACTTTTAAGTACCACATACTCCCCAGTTCTTGTAAGTACCATTATATCTCAGTACTTTTAAGTACCACATACTCCCCAGTTCTTGTAAGCACCATTATATCTCAATGCTTTTAAGTACCACACACTACACAGTTCTTGTAAGTACCATTATATCTCAGTACTTTTAAGTACCACACACTACACAGTTCTTGTAAGTACCATTATATCTCAGTACTTTTAAGAACCACACACTGCACAGTTCTTGCCTTCAAAGTTTTGGTCATTATCTTGATCTAGAAAGGATTGTTAGAGCAATTAGATATAATTTGACACAAACCTTTATGCAGATTTTTATTTGACTCGTCAGAGGTAAGTAGAAAATCTTTTTTGATTTTTTTTATTTGAAGATGAAGTTTAAAACTGATTATCTGTGTTATAAATGCTTACAAACATATCCACTTCAGCCCAATTCCTAAGATTATCAATGGTGCTATAGCTGGTATAGTGGGCGTGACATGTGTCTTCCCTATCGATCTTGTCAAAACTAGACTCCAGAATCAACAGCCAATGCCCAATGGAGAACTCTACTACAAAAGCTTGTAAGTCAGCCATGTGACGTAAAAAAAAACTCTTAATAAATGTATAACATTTTTAGATATCCTGGGAAATTAATCAAATATATGTATAATTTGTGACTTGGAAAAAGTATTCAATGTAAAGATTGAGAATTTACTCATTACTGCATATTATTCTAAGCTAAAATATTTTTCTCTTCAACCCAAAACAAGATAATACACATACATGTATTTCAGAAGGTTTAACTATTATGAATCATACATTTTTCTTCTTTTCAGGTTTGACTGTGCCAAGAAAACTTTCAAGAATGAGAGATTCCTAGGAATGTACAGAGGTATAAATAGATGAGCTGTGTTTTCTTATGTATTAATAGACTGAAGTGTTAGGAGTGTCCTATAAATATACAAGATATGATTATATAGCAATGGTTAGAAGTGTGAATTAAATGATGTTATTGAGACCACATGGTCCTGGCCATTTTATGAACTTTTTCTACCTCCTTACAAAAAAGAGTTTGACAATTAATAACTTCATATGATGATTATGAATAACTACATATTTAACAAATATAGTACTGGTAAGTGAAGTAAAATAATTAAGTTTAAAGACCATTGAATGTGTCAATTGTTTATCACTCAGCCTCCTTAAATACATTTAATTATACACTGCTGTTGTACAGAATGTTTAAAGATGTACCCTTATTTATTATTTAGCTAATAAATAGTCTATAATAAAAAAAAGTCTGAAACTTTAGCATTCAGTATCTTGGCATTTTATTGAACTCTGAGTTCACAATACGTACAGGAATATGCTTTGAAACATTCTAAATGCAAGCATTCAATACCAAATGCCCGTTTTAAGTAAAAAATTTCCTGTGTCAACCGCTCAACAGCAATATTTAGGGTAGTAGCAGCTAGGGAAAATGTATTTATTTTCACACAAAATTGAAATTATTAATAAGTACCTATAAGTCTCAAGAAAAACCTCAATAAGCAAATCAAAATGCTTGGTAGGATCATTGAACTGATGTAATATTGAACACTTCCAGGACTGAATAGCAATATAATGAAGGAGTTATTGAATTATATTGGTGAATATTAGCATTTATTGGCTGCATAAATGCACTCCAAGTTTATCCATTTGCACAACCAACAATAATATAGCACAGCTTAGAGGTGTGGGTACTGAGTTGTTAGCTTGCTTAGTATCTGGTCTGTAATAGTTTAGATATGTCTCTTTTTTGTCTGACAGGCTCTGCTGTAAATCTGGTCAAAAATAGTTTAAATATGTCTCTTTTTTGTCTGACAGACTCTGCTGTAAATCTGGTCTGTAATATTTTAAATATGTCTCTTTTTTGTCTGACAGGCTCTGCAGTAAATCTGCTTCTGATCACACCAGAAAAGGCCATCAAACTCGTCGTCAATGACTACCTACGATACAAATTTACAGATAAAAAGTAAGTGAGAGTTATGTACTGCCATCAAACTAGTCATTAATGACAACTTCAGATACAAATTTACAGATAAAAAGTAAGTGAGGAATTATAATATTCCATAGCTGCAGAACTGTAGCTCTCTGCTTGAGAAAATTATGGTTAATTATCAGATACCATTCTTAAAGCGGGGGAAAGCATAAAATTCAAGAAATAATAGCTGAAGCGAGCGACAAAAAAGCGGCGGCGTAAATGGAAGGTTTTTACAACGCTTGGATCTGTAGCTCTCTGTTTATCTGTCCGAATTTTCTCAAGCAGAGAGCTACAGTTCTGCAGCTAAATATTCCATAGAGACTCTATTTGATAAAAAATCTGTAAGTGTACATGTAAATACTGTCCATATTTCTTTAAATATTTGACAATTTTATGGATAATTCTATTTATTTTAATGAATTCGTAATTTAGATGGAATACAGGTCAACTGGCCTTTCAATGAAAATTTCCATACTAAATTAACAGCAAAATAAAATAGGGGGGGGGGGTACTACATTGTATATGCCTATGTATTGCAACAGATGTTATTTGGCAATGGTGTACTGTGTTGTGTGGAAATCTCTGTTTTTTTCCTGTTGTATACTGTCTTGTGGAGGACTATGTTTATTTCTTATGTAGGACTGGGGTACTGTCCAGTGGGGGAGCCATTATCTCAGGGGCGGGAGCTGGATTGTGTCAGATTGTGGTCACCACACCAATGGAACTTCTGAAGATCCAGCAGCAGGATGCAGGAAGAAGTGGTATGACCTCTTTACCATATATATTGTCTGTGGAAAAAGTGGTACGACTTCTGTACCACAGAATCATAATTGTCCATGGAAAAAGTGGTATGACTTCTGTACCACAGAATCATAATTGTCCGTGGAAAAAGTGGTATGACTTCTGTACCACAGAATCATAATTGTCCATGGAAAAAGTGGTATGACTTCTTACCACAGAATCATAATTGTCCGTGAAAAAATGGTAGGACTCCTTTACCACAGAATCATAATTGTCATTGGAAAAAGTGGTATGACCTCTTTACCATAGAATCATAATTGTCCGATACTTGAAATACTTATATTTATTACATTTTCAACAGTGAAATACTGTGATTTATTTATTGAATAAAAGTGATATTCTCTCACAGTGTGAAAGGATACCAAAATGATATTCTCTCACAGTGTGAAAGGATATCAAAGTAAGTAAAAAATAATTTCTGGCCTGTCATAAGATAGAGATAGTAACTAAACACACTGATAGAGCTAAAACTGCAAATTTCTTCCCAAGTATGTTGCTAAAATCCATGCTATGTAATGTTTTCAATCTCACAACTGCTAAGCTATGACGTCTCAACCGCTCAACTATGACACTGTGTTAAGAAAAGACAGAGGCAAAGGGAAAATCAAAGAAAATGTAATAAACAGAAAATTCAATGTTTTGTAGATGAATATGGAATTTATTTCACACATGAGACAGGATTTTTTTATATTTTCACTTGTGCTTCGCACTCGTGAAAATATCAAAAAATCCTGTCCCACTCGTGAAATAAATTCCATATTCATCTACAAAACATTGAATATCCTCTATGTATTCAAAGAGACTTAGTGTATTTTCCAGAAGTGTGTGACAGGGACCAACCTAGACCAAAAATTTAGGGAGACTTCACTTCTCCCTCAGTGAAATTTAGGGAGAAGTTTCAAATTTTAGGGAGACTTCTCAGCGCGCGCAATGCGCAATAATTATTGAATTATTTAATTAAATTTTAATATATATTAAAACATTGATTTCTTTGTAGTATTCCATCATTCTAAGACTATTTAAGGAGACAGAAAATGTAGATCTTTAAACAATGTATTTTATATTTTTTTTATATTAAAAGTTATTAATTCATAGCATAAAAATACATTTTCACATAATCAATCTAAAAGGCTGTCAACTTGTACAAAATAAGTTCAGTATTTACATATGTACACATCAGTTCAAAAATTTAAGACTGAAAAAGTTTTCTCTTTTTCTCATCTTTCCAGATTTTCAGGGCCTTTGCAAAGTCAAAGTTTTCAATTGATGGACCATCCTCTGAAATCCTCATTAAGACATTCACTGAGTTATTATTCAAGTTTGTTCTTAATCTTGATTTGATGCGATTTTGGGTGGAAAACCCCCTCTCACAGGTAGCACTGTTCACTGGCAACAGTGTGCAACATTGAACAAGTTTGATGAGGTTTGACAGGATATCCTCATATTCTGAACCAAGTTTCTCACACACTTCACTCAAGGAAGACATTGAGAAAGAGCCTATGACAAGTCTTTTGTACTGTTTGTATTCCATAGGCACTTGTTCTGTTTCTATTCCTTGGATAGCAAAATGTTCAGCTAAAACAGCTACACTCTCATTTCCAAATTTTGCTAACTCTCCTTTTTTGTGAGCTGAAGTGATGTGAAGAGGTTGTAACACTTGCATTTTTTCTATTAACCCACTTTCTTGAAATCTATCTTTCAAATTTTTTACTATATTGTCTACATATTGTGGCATGATAGATCTGAGAATGTTTTTCTGCTGAGAAAAGAATCTGACTTGAACTCCATCATGTCCTGCCTCAATTTCTTCATCAGAGCTCTCAAATCCATCAAACCCATCAATATTGGTGTCAATGGCCTCTTGAACAACTGATTTTTTGCTTTCACTGTCAGGTCGATTGTACATAACATTATCCCCATCTATAGTGATAAATTCCTCCAGTTTATCTACATAAATTTCTTGAGCCTCTTTGAAATCGAGTAGAGCTTCACAGGTACTTTCCACTATTGGTCTAAGTTTACTCAGGTCCAAGTCCTTGGTTTGAAAAATACGGCTCAATCTACCCAGGAAAGGCAAAATGTCCATCAGCATATGAGTAATTGCAATAAAATTGTACTGGGAAACTTCTGCATGAATCCCCCTTGCAGCTGGGTTGGTAGTTCCTTCATGCTCTAGGGCTATAAGAAGGGCAGGGCAAGTCCTATAGAGAATTTCAACTGATTTCTGAAGACTTAACCATCTCACAGAGTGAATTTGAGCAAATTTCAGTGTAGGAAGGTTAAGCAGCATTTGGATTTCTCTAAGCTTATTTGATCGTAGTGCAGATCCACTGAAATAAAAGGAAATGTTTGCCACTGTATCTGAGCATTTTTTCAGTTGAGGAATACATTTTGATGCTTGTGAGGCAGCAAGGGCACATCGGTGTGCAGCACAGTGAATCCCTACTAAAGCTGGGCTGTATTCTTTAAGCCTTACAATTACTCCATTTTTAGCTCACCTCGACGAAGTCGAGATGAGCTTATGCTATACCCCCGGCGTTGGCGTCGGCGTCGGCGTTAGCGTAGGCGTCCCGGTTAAAGTTTTAGGAGCAAGTCCCATTCCCAAGTTACTATAAGCCCTACCTGGACCAAACTTGCATGGATGATGCATCTAGAATGGACACTGCCACACTTGCTTCGGATGCTGGATCTGACCTAGATTTTCCAGATGAGTGACCAGGTTAAAGTTTTTGGAGCAGGTCCATTCCCAAGGAACTATACGCCCCACCTGAACCAAACTTGTATGGATGATGCATCTAGGGATGGACACTACCACACTTGCTTCGGATGCTGGATCTGACCTAGATTTTCCAGATGAGTGACCAGGTTAAAGTTTTTGGAGCAGATCCATTCCCAAGTAACTATAAGCCCTACCTGGACCAAATTTGCATGGATGATGCATCTAGGGATGGACACTACCACACTTGCTTCGGATGCTGGATCTGACCTAGATTTTCCAGATGAGTGACCAGGTTAAAGTTTTTGGAGCAGGTCCATTCCCAAGTAACTATACGCCCTACCTGGACCAAACTTGCATGGATGATGCATTTAGGGATGAACACTACACACTTGCTTCGGATGCTGAATCTGACCTAGATTTTCCAGATGAGTGACCAGGTTAAAGTTTTTGGAGCAGATCCATTCCCAAGTAACTATAGGCCCTACCTGGACCAAACTTGCATGGATGATGCATCTAGGGATGGACACTACCACACTTGCTTCAGATGCTGAATCTAATCTAGATTTTCCAGATGAGTGACCAGGTTAAAGTTTTTTGAGCAGGTCCATTCCCAAGTAACTATAGACCCTACCTGAACCAAATTTGCATGGATGATGCATCTAGGGATGGACACTACCACACTTGCTTCGGATGCTGAATCTGACCTAGATTTTCCAGATGAGTGACCAGGTTAAAGTTTTTGGAGCAGATCCATTCCCAAGTAACTATAAGCCCTACCTGGACCAAACTTGCATGGATGATGCATCTAGGGATGGACACTACCACACTTGCTTCTGATGCTGAATCTTACCTAGATTTTCCAGATGAGTGACCAGGTTAAAGTTTTTGGAGCAGGTCCATTCCCAAGTAACTATACGCCCTACCTGGACCAAACTTGCATGGATGATGCATCTAGGGATGAACACTACACACTTGCTTCGGATGCTGAATCTGACCTAGATTTTCCAGATGAGTGACCAGGTTAAAGTTTTTTGAGCAGGTCTATTTCCAAGTAACTATAAGCCCTACCTGAACCAAACTTGCATGGATGATGCATATAGGGATGGACACTACCACACTTGCTTCGGATGCTGGATCTGACCTAGATTTTCCAGATGAGTGACCAGGTTAAAGTTTTTGGAGCAGGTCCATTCCCAAGTAACTATACACCCTACCTGGACCAAACTTGCATGGATGATGCATCTAGGGATGAACACTACACACTTGCTTCGGATGCTGAATCTGACCTAGATTTTCCAGATGAGTGACCAGGTTAAAGTTTTTTGAGCAGGTCTATTTCCAAGTAATTATAAGTCCTTCTTAAACCAAACTTGTATAGATATTGATCTTGGGATGTACACTAACTAGAAAAAATATGTGAGATTTGCCTTACTTATAGATAACCTTCGTCGAGGTGAGCTTCGTAATCTTTGATTACCTATGTTTTCTTCCTGTCATGACGCTGGCTCCATCAGTTCCAACACCAACAAGTTTTGACACATCTAGGCCTTTAACTCTCAGCTCTGTAATCACATGATTAACTATGGTCTCTGCATCTGCCTTGGGTGTAGAAATTTCTATATTGCAGAGAAACCGTGTTTCAAGTTGTCTCTCCTGCAGGTAGTGAGCATAGAGTAAAAGACGCTTTCGATTTCCGCGGTCTGTGCTTTCATCCAGTGTTATAGAAAAAACTCCAGAGTTTGTTATATTTTCAACTAGATCGAGTGATATAACTTTTGCACATGCACTCTGAAATTCTCCAACACTTTTGGAACTGGTGTAAGAATTTTCTTCTTTCAGTGTTTGGCACCCCATTTCACCCATTAAACTAATGATGTGTGGGAATTCTTCCTTAGGTAGCTCTCTCTTAGCAAGGAAATAAGCACATTTAATGTAGTGGGTGATGACTTGCTCATCTCTGTCAAGTTTACTGGCTAGTAGCTTCTGGAGTGGTTGCTGTTTGGCCAGTTTAGACTTTGTTATGGCAGTCAAATGGAGCTGAGCTGAAATAAAATTGTTGAAATGTCATTTTTATTAATTTTGTTTTTACTATGAGCTTAATTTTTTCCCAAAATATTCAATTGAAAACTTGCTAAAAATTATAAAGTTACTGTATGAAAAAAAAAATATTGATAAAAATTATTCAGGTAAAAACTATTTTAAGTGCAGACACTAACTACAAAAAATAAACTTTTAAGGTTT